GGAAGTGCTCTTCCTTTTCACTCATCCTGCTCTTGCTTAAAATTCACACCTCCTAGGAGCGCCGGCTGCATATGTATGTGGTATACTGTCAGAATAAACCCAAATCAGAGCATGTGGTGTCAGAATTTGGGGACAGCTACTTTGAGGTCAGTGGCTGAGGTGCCCTGGGAAAAGAGGGACAGAATCATCATGAGCAGGCTTTCCAGGCTGCATAACCACTGTGTATCCCTGTCTCCAGGAGCTCCGGCAGCAGCTGGGGCACCGCTTGCAGCTCAATGATCTTCTCATCAAACCAGTGCAGAGGATCATGAAATACCAGCTGCTGCTCAAGGTCAGGACCGCCTTCCAGCTGGCTGGGACATGACAGCTCTTCTTTCCTTCATCTCCTCAGGGTTCCTAAGGCTCCCCAGACTTCCTAGAGGCCTTCACCTGTGTCCTGGGGGAGGTTGTGAGAGCTTCTGAGAATGTCCTCATGACCTCCCTGAACATTCTTTTCTGTGTCTTAGGATTTTCTCAAGTATTATAGTAGAGCTGGGATGGATACTGAAGAGCTGGAGGTGAGGACTTTTAGGTCTTCCAGGACACATCACACACACCTTTATCTTCTTAGTCTCCAGGATCCCCCCAGCTCCTTGGGTGGTATAGAGCTGTCTGGTTTTTAGGGGAGGCTGTCGGGGGTCAAAACATGGCTCCTTCCTAGTGACAGTGCTTCTCTCTTCACTTGCATCCCAGCGAGCTGTGGAAGTCATGTGCTTCGTGCCCAAGCGCTGTAATGACATGATGACCCTGGGGAGACTGCGGGGATTTGAGGTATGGGGATGGAGCAGGAAACCTGAGCACCAGTGCTCTTCTGTCTTCGATTGAGATTCGGGAAGTCCTTGTGGGGAATTGTCCTCTCCTGGTGCTACCCTATGGTTGGTTGGGAGTGTCAGGGGAAGGAGGGAGGAGCAGAAGTTCCCTCTTTTTTCTTCTTGTTTTTTTTCTGGAAGACCACTGTCCTTTGGTTCTAGGGCAAACTGACTGCTCAGGGGAAGCTCTTGGGCCAGGACACATTCTGGGTCACAGAGCCTGAGGCTGGGGGGCTTCTTTCCTCCCGGGGTCGAGAGCGGCGTGTCTTCCTCTTTGAGCAAATCGTCATCTTCAGTGAGGCCTTGGGAGGAGGAGTGCGAGGTGGAACACAGCCTGGATATGTGTACAAGAGCAGCATCAAGGTGGGGAGGGGGCTACAAGGGACGGGTTTGACTGGGATGGGGGGAGGCCTCTGAGAGGATGCCTGGCTCTTGGATTTGTTGGAGGGGGCAGGAGCCAGAGAGGGCCTGAAGAATTTGGGGGCACTATCTCTTATTTGCCAATCCAGGTGAGCTGCCTTGGACTGGAGGGGAACCTCCAAGGTGACCCTTGCCGCTTTGCTCTGACCTCCAGAGGGCCAGAGGGTGGGATCCAGCGCTATGTCCTGCAGACTGCAGACCCTGCAGTTAGTCAGGCCTGGATCAAGCAAGTGGCTCAGATCCTGGAAAGTCAGCGGGACTTTCTCAATGGTGAGTTCTCACCCTCTCTCCTCCACATGCTCCCTTCTGAATCCCTCACTGCCCAATCTCCCATTCCTGCCCTCTGACCCTGGCTTCACTTTGTCCCCTATTCCCACTTTTCCACTAATAGCTCAGGAATTGGTAACTCAGCCCTAGCTGGTTTGGCTCAGTAGATAGAGTGTCGGCCTGTGGACTGAAGGGTCCCGGGTTCGATTCCGGTCAAGGGCACATGCCGGGGTTGTGGGCTCAATCCCCAGTAGGGGGCGGGCAGGAGGCAGCCCATCAGTGAGTCTCTCTCATCATTGATATTTCTATCTCTCTCCCTCTCCTTTCCTCTCTGAAATCAATAAAAATCCTATATAATAAAAGAGTAATATGCAAATTGACCATCACTCCAACACACAAGATGGCCGCCACCATGTGGACACAAGATATAAAAAAGAGTAATATGCAAATTGACCATCACTCCAACACACAAGATGGCCGCCACCATGTGGACACAAGATGGCCACCACAAGATGGCTGGAGAGGAGGGCAGTTGTGGGCGATCAGGCTGCCAAGGGAGGGCAGATAGGGGCGACCAGGCCTGCAGGGGAGGGAAGTTGGGGGTGACCAGACTGGCAAGGGAGGGCAGTTAGGGGTGACTGGGCCAGCAGGGGAGGGCAGGTAGGGAAAATTGGGCCGGCAGGGGAGCAGTTAGGCGTCGATCAGGCTGGCAGGGGAGTGGTTAGGGGCAATCAGGCAGGCAGGCGAGCAGTTGGGAGCCAGAAGTCCTGGATCTACTGGGATTGGGCCTAAACGGGCAGTCGGACATCCCTCGAGGGGTCCCAGGTTGGAGAGGGTGCAGGCTGGGCTGAGGGACACCCTCCCCCCCCCCACACACAAATTTTGTGCATCGGGCCTTTAATATATTATCTAAAAAAATTGGTAACTCAGAATCCTCTAAAGGTCAATTTACATGGATGACACCTTTGGAGGGAGAGCAAAATGGGAGGATAGCCTGAGCAGAACCCTGAGGGAAAGGACCTGTCTCTGCTGTAACCCTCCTTCTGTTCTTCTCTTTGCCCCAGCATTGCAATCACCCATTGAATACCAGAGACGGGAGAGCCAGACCAACAGCCTGGGGCGGCCAGGAGGGCCTGGGGTGGGAAGCCCTGGGAAAATGCGGCCTGGAGACCGGGCCCAGGTCAGCACACACAGGCCCATCAATGGCTCTCTTCCCTCCCTGCTGCTGTTACCCAAAGGGGAGGTGGCCAGAGGCCCCCTGCCCCTGGACACACAGGTATGAAGAATGATGTTTCCTGGTAATAGGGGTGGAATGGGGAGGGCCTCTCTTGTTCCAGGATCCCCAAATCCTTCTCCCCTGTATCATTCCTCTTCCTTCTGTCTACTCCTTTCTACTTCCCATCTCTTACCCTCCTCCCTCCACTTTAATTGATGGTCTCAGGTAATCTAAGATGTCTGGCAAAAGGTGGCTTCACTAGGGGCTTACACTGAAAAGAGAGGAGTCGGGGTGGATTCCTGAACTTTTTTGATCCTCCAATTTGAGTCTTTCTTCAGGCCCTCAGTGACATCCCCCAGATTCCTCGTGACTCTCCTTCAGTTCCACCAATTTCAAACACCCCTCCCTGCCAGGCCAGACTTGCCAAGTTGGATGAAGATGAGCTGTAACTGGTAAAGACCATGGGGGTGGTGCTGACTCAGCTACTCTCTTCCCCAAGGAACTTCAGGGCAATCCTTCTGGCACTGCTCCAGAATTCCTCCCTCTTGGTGTGTCTGGAGGTGGGCAAGGCCGGGAGTGGTGTCAACTTGGAGGAGGGTACCTAAACTCAAAAAGACTTCTTTCTGTCCTGGGAACACAGGTTCCTTCAGCTCCCACCCCTATGCATGCATCACAGGTCCCCCACAAAAGAAGGATATGTGGGTGGGTGGGAGGGCTAGGGCAAGGGCCAAATAGAAAATATTGGTTTTGATTTTGTTTTTTCTGTTTTCTGAGAATAAAGGTTTTGTTATATCACGGAGGCTACTGTCTTGGCAGAGAGAAGGGGAGGCTTTGGTAGGGGAAAGTGGGGTGAAGTGGTATGGAAGAGATCAGCTGACCTCTCAAATCAGTTTGAGCAGGGGTCTGGTGAAAGGAGAAGGGCACAGGCTGTAAGATAAAAGACGTTGCTATCTCTCAGTACAGGCCTGGGACTTGGGGCCACTGGAAACTCTAGATCCTTGATGAATCCTCCACTTTACCCAGCCCTTCTTTCTCTCTCATTTGGCCTCTGATCTAGACCCCAATGGAAAACCCAATGTAATCTGATTTCCCACTACTCCCCCAAAATCCAGACGCGAAAGTACCAAATACCAATGTACCTTTCCTTCTGAGGCCTCCATGTTCAGCTGAGGTAGAATGGGGAGGTGGAGAGGATGCTGGAGACCACGGCCCCTTCAGTCTCTGGGTCTTCTTATTTTTGCTGTCTTGGAAGTCATAAGGCATATCCACACTGGACAGGAATGGATTTCTCTTCAAGCCATAGACCCAAGATTGTAGAGGCCAAAGGGGTCTTCACCCCTCCCAACTTCTGGAACAGCCCCGGGGACAGAGAAAGCTAAACGTGCAGAGATCCATGTCCAGATTCCCTGTCCTGGGTCCTTGGTCATCGGTGTGCCACTGTCCCTTTGTCCCCTGGGCCTGGTCACGTGTACTTGGGCTTCCTCAGCAGACAATAGACTGCTAGGGTGGGGGTGGTGAGGAGGAGCTGGAGCCTCCCTGTGGGGCTGAGGTCCCTCTGGCCGACAATGGGGGGAGGGGCCTCTTAAGGGGGAGACAGGACGTTCAGCCCAGATAAGACTTCGGGGGAACAATAGAAGGAATTGAAGAAGGGAGACCCACCCTCACTGTTCCCCACCCCTAGGACTTTGGGGTCAGGGACTAGGGACCAGAGGGTGATGGGGAGGGGTGCTAAGGATTCTTGTGAGTGGAGGAGGGGATGGGGCAGATAGGATTCTAGGGCTCAGAACCTCTGTATCTCTTTAGGGATCAATGGGGTACATGAGGTGGGTGGGTGGGTGACTCTTTTGTCCCTAATATAACCACAAATGTGCGTTTGAGTGCCTACTTTGTGACTTGCACTTGTATGTAATATATGGTGTTTCAGGTTTTTTGGCTTCTAAGAAATAAAAGTTTCCTATCAGTTCAGTATTCTTCCTGGGGTCCTGAACTGGGGATTTAGGCTCAGGCTGTCCCAGCAAAGATGTGGAGTGGTGCTTCTCTGTCATCCCGTCTAACACATAATATCTGCTTCCCATCTCAGTTGTTTGTGGAACTGAAGAGGCCAGCAGACCTCCTTACACTTTCTTGGGGACAACCTGAGCCCCAAGAGGCTTTGGGTCTGGGGAAAGGAGAAGCTGGTGTTGGAACCCCTGCACTTTCTTGCTCCAGCGGGGAATGCAGCAGCTCTAGGAATGAACCTAGGGGAACCAGCTTCTGTCTTGGCCCAAAGTGTCGATTCCAAGGGAACTCGGTGAAGAGGTGGAGAGTGAAAAGGCTTAGGAGTGGTAGATAGTGGGGGTTAGGTGTTGAGGATGTGCCTGCTTTTTGGCTTCTCTCCCAGGTCCCTAAACCTTTGCACGGCCCTCTCCCATAGCAGACTCCAGGGCCTGCGACTGGGCCAAGGACATCTGAGGAAACGCCTAACAGAGAGAGGCCCCCTCCCCAAGCTGCAGCTCTTCAGCTGGTAGAAGGGCGCCTCCAGGGCCGGATTGGGTCCTGCTTCAGGGAGGCGGGACCCAGGCTAGCCGGTGGAGGGGTATTTAAGACTGGGCGGAGTTGGAGGTGGCCAAGGGCAAAATGAGTGGGCTACTGGGCGCCAGGACCTGCTCAAGCCCAGGAGAGGCCTCCGACCTTAAGTTCCCACTGGGCGCCAAGCTCAGGGAACCCCTCACCCAGGCGCGGTTCCAGCAGCTCTTCGGGGGCGCGGAGCAGGCGCAGGAGCTACTCGCCGAGTCCCGCTGGTCCGGGCTGTGCCGACTGTGGAGGCGGCGGGCCGGCTGCCTCAGTACCGCTGGAGGGCCTGGCTGCTCGGGGATGCGGTGGCTGGAGTGACCGTGGGCATCGTGCACGTGCCCCAGGGTGAGCGGCCCCAACACCAACCTGTCAAAGGGCTGGGGAGACCCAGGGGGTGGGAACTCGGGAGCGAGGTGGTGGGTTCGTGTGGTTGGGGGTTCGGAGACAAGTTCTGGGTAAGGACTGTGGAGCTCCATCAGAGCCCCACCCCCAGCTGCCCTCATCTGTGCAATCCTTCGAGAAGTCTGAGACGCGTTCCGGCTCAGGGAACTGGAGAGAAGAGAGGAGCACAAGGCCTGCCCCCCAGGTCTCCGCCGGGGTTCTGGATCTGTGACCTTGTCCACCCAGCGACTTCCCCCCAGGCCCGTTAACCCCTCAGTTCCCGCTTGTGGCAAGGTTTAGCGTGCCCTTGCCAGCCTCTAAGAGGGGAGAGGGGGCAGCATCCCGAAGCTGGGCACCCTCCATCCCTCCAGCCCATCAGAAGGTCTTTCCTTCCACCTTCCCCCCCCCCCCCACC